TGTGCTTATTAGTATGGTTGAACTGGATCATCGAAGGTCAGAAGCAAAGACATTGGTTAATAGAATGGGATTATATACATAAAGGATATTTGTGTTGTTTAACATTTAATCATTGCAGGGTTGCGTCATATTCTGAGTTGCATTATTTTTATTCATTTTGAGGAATACTGAATTTGAGTGTTTTTTTGTGTGTGAGTGAGATGAATGAATGCGTATTCATATTTATTTTAGAACTACAGTAACATCTTCTGATTTCTCTCAACATGGGGACAGGAGAGCTGTCAATCAATAAATTGGAAAAAAAAAAGTAACTTGCGTTTCTTATTTGAAAAAGTAACTCAGATATTCTCTTGTAAATTAAAAAGTAATGCGTTACTTTACTAGTTACTTGAAAAAAGTAATCTGATTACGTAACTCGCTTTACTTGTAATGCGTTACCCCCAACACTGTTTATCTTAACCATAACTAAACACATTCTGTGGTAAATTCTTGAATATACCAGCCCAGACGTGTCTGACATAAACATTCAAAAGATTGGCCACTACTGAAATTCTAGAGAAGTCCTGATGCTATCAGTGTGTGTGTGTGTGAGCTGTAGTCTGAGCCTGTGGAGCAGATGTTGGGTGCTCAGCTTACAAATGACTTTGGAGGATTTCCCAATGAGATGTGGAATGGCTTATTCTCCACCGACATTTCAAAACAAGGGTCTAAAAATAAAGTCTGTGCTAAGTCTCTCATCAGTGAAGACGATAAAAGCATCAGTCGTGCAGCCCTGAGTTTCAGCCCACAGATTCAGCATGCAGAAGGATTGTCAGCGTGTGTTGGAGTTCAGTGTTTATTTGCAAAATATTAGCGTTTCAGAAAATTTGAATTGAATCCACCCAAATATAAACATTTGGTTTTAACATCAGGAATGACAAATCCCATGGTTCTTGGGATACTCAATATCATATTATATATGATTATATGATGCATATTATATTATCATGTCTTACAAGTATGTGTTGTGTCATTCTTAATTAACAAAGAAGGAAAGAAATTTTTTTTTCTGTGCAGTAATATTTTATTTAAACTATACATGCCGTGTTAAAAAAAGTCAACAAAAATATTCTTAAACAATGACTGTAATTATTTACACTTTCACAGTACAGCTTTACAATATCTACACATTAAAATATTCCAGAAAAGAAAAGCTGTATTCCAACTGCCAATGTTTGCACAGTATTAAAAATAAAGACCAGTCTGGTTTCTTTGCACATAGAGTAGTGACTGAACATTAAAGGCTTGAAGTCAGATTGCAGATTTATATTGCAATATACAAGGCAGCTCAACACAGGACAACCTGAACCAGAGCACAGGATCAACTCTCTCTCCTTTAATAAAACTGAACTTTAGCAGGTGATGATGCGCCAGTCTCCGCTCAGCTGCTCTAATACAATCAGAACATGTAAACAAACATGAAGCTTTGGGCTTGAACAGGCAAGTTTCCCCTCAATATACTGAAATTCCCAATAATTTCAAACAAACTTTGAGTGTCTAATCGTAGATGACCCTCTCTAAAAACACTCAAATCTCGATTTGACCCCATTGAATGTTGTGAAATATAGTGAGCTGAGAGTCAGGTGATATACATTTTAGATTTACAATACATTCATTACATGGCATGGCATCATCGCAAATTAGCACCTTCCAGAAATGCATAAGAATAAAATGGCAGGTCCAGAAATATTATGGTCTTTCCACCCAGGGCCGTAACCACTGAAAATATTGAGGGGATGCACCTGCCCCCACTCCAAATATTCAGATTACTGGTCAGTTGGTATGGATTTTGCAATGACCGTTTCCTAAAATTTTACCCGTGGGTTGCATCTCTGCTCATATCCAACCAAAAATTATTTGTTTGATGTTAGTGCAATGTGGAAAACCAAACTGCGCTCTCATTACTTTAATAAGACACACAAATACACTGATCCAGGTAAACTTGCCTTGAAAATATCCACACTTAAATAGTTGTATATTCACAATAACTCTATCACTGGCACGACTCTGCAAGAGTCTAATCGTAGATGACCCTCTCTAAAAACACTCAAATCTCGATTTGACCCCATTGAATGTTGTGAAATATAGTGAGCTGAGAGTCAGGTGATATACATTTTAGATTTACAATACATTCATTACATGGCATGGCATCATCGCAAATTAGCACCTTCCAGAAATGCATAAGAATAAAATGGCAGGTCCAGAAATATTATGGTCTTTCCACCCAGGGCCGTAACCACTGAAAATATTGAGGGGATGCACCTGCCCCCACTCCAAATATTCAGATTACTGGTCAGTTGGTATGGATTTTGCAATGACCGTTTCCTAAAATTTTACCCGTGGGTTGCATCTCTGCTCATATCCAACCAAAAATTATTTGTTTGATGTTAGTGCAATGTGGAAAACCAAACTGCGCTCTCATTACTTTAATAAGACACACAAATACACTGATCCAGGTAAACTTGCCTTGAAAATATCCACACTTAAATAGTTGTATATTCACAATAACGCTATCACTGGCACAACTCTGCAAGACACACTGGTAGGTATTGCAGTGATTGTACACTTATAGTGAGTATGCAATTGAGGCCTCTGTTCTTTTAAACAATGTATGGAGCTGAGGTTGGGTTTTGTCACAGAGCTGAAAAGTGGTTTGTAGTAAGGAATGTTCAGTTTGCAGTTTTATGTAATACTTTGCCCAGGAATCAAAAAGTAAGCTTTCTGAAATGGTTTAAACTGCAAGGAATATTCAAGAACGTAAAAGGAGACAAAAATGGTCTTGCACTTCATAGACCCAACAGCAGTACTTGGCATGTAGGAAAGGAGAGAGGTTAATCAATGATCTGCCTTACATCATAGTTGAAAGATGACTTTATGGGATTACAAGATTCCCAGTGATTTCCTGAAACTAAAAATGACCAAAGAGAATAATGTAAATTTGACCAGTGTGATCCTGTGCTGAGCCTGTGGGTTTAAAAGCTTGATGCAGCTTGACACACAGAACTGTTGCATGGAATGCCACACTGGTGTCTGTTAAACATTGTCATTGTCTACACTTAGCAGCACAAATGTTGAGGGCACTTTTACCCTGTGAGTTTCAAAATCAGTAGTCCAAGCAGGAGCCCTGGACATTTCTTTTGCACGCAGAAATTATTAATTAATGTCTGGACTTCTGTGTCCAAACACATCTGATGTTAATGCACCTTAAATGGGATTTAGTTTTATGACAGCGATGACTCAAGCTTGTTCTCAGTTTACTGAAAAAAACATGGTCAATGAATGCACACTGGTTAGCCCCAGGGACTAATCATTGTCTACACTTAGCAGCACAAATGTTGAGGGCACCTTTACCCTGTGAGTTTCAAAATCAGTAGTCCAAGCAGGAGCCCTGGACATTTCTTTTGCACGCAGAAATTATTAATTAATGTCTGGACTTCTGTGTCCAAACACATCTGATGTTAATGCACCTTAAATGGGATTTAGTTTTATGACAGCGATGACTCAAGCTTATTCTCAGTTTACTGAAAAAAACATGGTCAATGAATGCACACTGGTTAGCCCCAGGGACTAATCAAACACAGACACGCAACATGTCCCTTTCACTCTGTCTGTCTTCTGGAGAGATATCCAAGCAAGAATATCATATTTTCCAAACAGTCTAACAAATATGGTTCACATTGATGGGGAGAACAGTGCATAGGGGAGCATACGCTGCCCGATAGCCGCAGCAACTACGCAGCTGCTTTATGCTGCATGTCAGCTGTGACCTATGACCTCAGCGTCCCTGCCGCCTTGAAGATCAGAATCTGTCACCTGCCACTCAAGCGTGACAGGACAACGTCATTGAGAAATAGCACAACTACCCGAAACAGAAGCTCTGGCATCCGATTCATTTCCCTTCATAGGGAACAGAGACTGGCACGCCATATCTCTGCGGGCCAAACACTTTTACTCCCACTGTCCATTCATAGAGTAAGATCCTGCTAAGCATTTCAGTAGCTATACTTGTTTACAGCCCTCATTTGTGCAGTCTGTGGTGCAAAGCCATTGGGTTTGGCTGGCACATCGGGCTTTAACGATGCTGTCCGTTTGATGGATGTTCGTGGTAAAGACCCATGACCACTGTAGCTGCTCTGCCGGGACATGGAAGGTGTCATAGCCATTGGTACCCCGTGAGAGTCTAGTCTAGTGGGTGGGGTAGGAGTTGGGGCCATGTACCCACCTCTGTTCAAACTAGGTTGCCGGGACACTATGACCCCGCCAGGTGAGTGCAGCCCTTTGGGCGGCGAGGAAATGGAGTGTCGCTGGGATGAACTGCGGTGATACCGCTGTCTCTCGAGAGTGCCCATCTGCCCTGTGGGCGATGTTGGTGTAGTTGGCACATCCAGTCTCTTGGTTGGGCTATTCCTGGGTAAAGAGGAAGTGGGAGTCTCGCTCTCGAGAGTTCCCATCTGCCCTGTGGGCGATGTTGGTGTAGTCGGCACATCCAGTCTCTTGGTCGGGCTATTCCTGGGCAGACAGGAAGAGGGAGAGTACAAGGAGGCCTCTCGGCTTGGGACTTTGGGTGGAATCTCCGTTGGGCTTACAATGGGTTCCAGCATTAGGTGCTGTCGGGATTTGGGCATCTCCACCATGATAGCCTTGGGGTTGCTCTCATTCAGGTGCTTCAAGAGGTCATTCAGTGTGTTCTTGGCATCCACAGTACGCCGCTGATCTTTACGGCCAGATTTGGAACTATGTTGATCACTATTCTGGATCTTCTTTTCTGCTTGAGGCCCTCCAGAAGTACTGAAGGCTGCCCTGTTCTCATGTGTGGCATTGGGCAGTACCACGGCACTGGGGATGTGGGGGTTGCTGACAGTGGAATGGGGTGGGGGACTGGAAGGAATGTACTGCTGGCTTTTGGGTGGCCCATCTTTGCGGGAGCCACTTATCTTTCCATGAGCTCTCTCCCATTGGTTCTTAATTGGCTGAAGGCTCTTTTGTTTCAGCACTGGTGTGGACTCGGGTGTAGGCAGTGCTGCTAGTTCTGGTGGCTGCCCACTCAAGAGCATCGTCTTAGTGTCTCCGGTGGTTGGCACCTCCCTCCCATTGCTCAACAGGTTGGTGTAAAGTTTGGGAGTATCCATATTGGGATGGTACTCTTTCACAGGACTGTCGAACAGACCGTTGAGCTTGGCAAAGCTGCCAGTGGAATCAGTGCATGACTGTGCTGACTCTGCATCTTTTTGGATCTTGCGTGGAGTGCGAAGGAAAGCATCTCTATAGCAGTAAACGACCATGCCAGCGATGAATGCACCGAGCAGGAATGCAGCTAACACACAGGAGATAAGGATATTCATATGCACCATCTGGTTAGATTCACCTGCTTGTATTTCCCACACACCTGCAACACAGATAGCCAAATACCATGTTAACTCACTCGCACAGTTGATCACTGAACAACTCTCTCTTTAAGCAAAAAGTCCTTTCCCCCCCGCAAAGGATGCTCAACAATTTGGTGTGAATCGAAAGCATACAACTGTTATTTCCAGCATTTTAGAAGCTTTTTAAATAAATCTACCTAGCAAGAAATTCAGAAAATACAATGAGATAACCTGTTATTATATTAGTAAAGGAGGCAAATTAGTAAAGAGGTGTGGTGGAACATTTTATTGCACATGGGTTGCAGTATCAGTTTTACATGAGAGCTTTCCTAAAGAGAATTAAGCCCGCTGTCTTTGTTTAGTACCCGGGGGGGGGGGGGG